CACCGATTTCTCTCTCCCTCCCCCTTCCTCTCTCTCTAAGAGCAAGGGGAAAATGTCAAGTGAGGATTAAAAAAACAAAAACAAAAAACACCTTACAATGTGGTCATGAGAAAAGGTTTTTATAGAATTAAAACGAGACCCCATGGCAAGGCAACATAAACTAAGGCTGAAGCTGTTGGCAATATATACACGAAAGGGCATAAATCTGGCTAAAATACCACCTTTGGCAATAAACCAAGTGTAAAGTTCAGTTTTTGAAAAAAATTGTTTATTTTTTTATTGGGCAAGTAAGTCACATGGCTCAAATTCAAAGGAAACCACTGTTATCCTTTTCCTTAATACCCTTCCAGAAATATTTACTGCAGAATAAAAAAATACGAAGTGTGTAACCTGATCGTAATTGTGACTGGGAAAACAAGCTACAAGAGCTGGCCACTAGCTTGAAATTTATACACTTCATATAGGGCTGATTTGAAGGAGCACTGCTCCGGACTCTGGGTGGAACCCACAGGGCGGGGCAGAGTGGGGCTGGGCTGTCCCTGGCCACCGAGGGAGTTAAACAGGACACTACCTCACGGCTTGAGTCACAGATTCCGAGAAAGGGGGGCTCCTGGTTAACCAGGAGGCAGCTGCAGCGCCATTTCCTTCCTTTCTGTGGTTTTACACTACCATCTCTTAAAAGTTTGAACTGGGAAATGTGAGTGTCTTCAAATGATTAAGGAGAAAGCAGAAGTAACTGGAAGCTTGAGGCCCACACCTCTGGGAACCCTGCAGAGGCCTCCCTACCTCTGTGAGCTGGGCCAACAGGTTCTGCAGGACAACTGCTGCGCCCCAGATCGAGTGACCCTGTGAGGGGAACAGGGGAAGGGGAGGACAGAGGAGGAGGCTGGGTGTCTGCTGTAGGTGCACCTCCTTCTGTCTGTCGCCCCTCGGTGCAAGCAGACTCAAGGGAGAGTGAGGTGAGACAGGTGAGCTGGGTGCGCACAAAGCAGAGCTCTTTGGTGTTCATCCTTCACCTCCCTGGGCTGCAATTCCTCAACACCACTCCCCACCTTTCCGTCAGGAATCTGCGTGTGCCTCCTGACATGACAACCTTGGGAAGATTGAAGGGGAAAAGTGAGCTCTCCACCTTCCTCTTCCTCCTGGGTCCTTGGGGAGGGCAGCACCTCCCGGGGAGACCAGCCCAGAGCAGGGTAACTCAAGGAGAGAGACAGGTGGTCGCGGGAACACATCATCAGTCACAGCCCATTAAGAGTATTTTGAGCTGCATATAATAAGAGGCCTACACCCTGGCTGGTGTGGTTCAGTGGACTGAGCTTCAGCCTGAGAACCAAAGGGCTGCTGGTTCAGTTCCCAGTCAGGGCACAGGCCTGAATTGCAGGCCAGGTCCCCAGTAGGGGGTCCATGAGAGGCAACCACACTGATGTTTCTCTCCCTCTTTCTCTTCCCCCTTTCTAAAAAATAAGTATATAAAGTCTTAAAAAAAAAAAAAAGAGGGTCTGAAGTCTAAGCCTTCTCCAGGCCAATTAGGTCAGACGATTGAGGGGCAGAGTTGGGTGTATTTTTTCATTGGTATTAGGCCCCCGCGTGGTCCCATAAGAAAGGTTAGAATTCAATCTCAGAAAACAGGGAGGAGTCTCAGGGACACAAGTGCACCGTCAGAAATGCCGATGCGCCTGGGTCACGCTGAACCCAGGACCGTCTGTGGGGTAAGGTGCCTTGTTGGCATCCTCCTGAGCCGGACACCCAACACAAGACAAGCTCACCATCTCCCAGAAGGTGGACACAACCCAACGTCCACCAAAAGACAGATGGACAAACAGTGGAGGTCTATCCAAACCCTGGAGTATCACTCAGCCATGAAAAGGAACAAGGTTTGGACACGCGACTATGGACGGTGGGCAAGGGGCCCAGGGCAGGACCCACTCAAGCTGAAACTGACAGCACATCCTAAAAGGCTAGGTAAACTAGAATTTAGCTTTTATTTAAAATTATTAAATTAGCCCTTCTTAGCTGCATGTTATACAGTCCTGTGCTGGAGCCCGGAGGCCTGCCTGTAGGGCAGGTGGTGGGGAAGATGTAACAGTACACTTTGGATACACTTTGCTTATTAAGACAACAGAAGAATGTAGCCTGCTAAGCACCAGACTTGCAGCTCTGTTTTATTCTGTTAAGGTAGCAGCACTCAGAGTCCTAAGATGTCTTGCAGAACTTGAAGCAGGAAGACTGCCTGGCCACAGTCAAGAGGCCCCGGACCGGGTGCTGCCAAGAGTGACATGAATCAGACGAAGAGAGTTTCTGAGGTTGACAAGGACCAACCCGTCAGCAGAGCCCACCACCCCGAGCCCCTCACTCAGGATTCTTCTCCTTTAAAACCCCCGATCAGAAGCCACTGGGGAGTTGGGGTTTTACGTCTGTTTTCCTCACGTGGCACCTGAAGTGAAGTAACTTGAACTCTCCCGCTGCTGCTCTCGGTGCTCAGTGACGGCCCCGCCGAGCCAGCACCCGGCGGACCAAGGTGACAGTCGCCCTGACCTCGGCAGTGGACACACCAGCGTTTCCCCTCCGTGTTCAGAACAGCCTGCGTTTCGTTACTTGTCGGTGCTCTGGTTGTAAAGCACACGCGAAGACCGCATTTTCTACTCACAATTATCTTCCAGAAGAGTGGTTTCCAAAACCCAGAGTCTGAGGTGGGCGGATAAGGGTCTGATTATGATGGAAAAAGAGGAGTGAGTGGCCGCAGCCATCAGAGGTGGTGCTTCTGAAAAGGGAGGCAGTCACGGAGAGCTGAAATGAACAGCGTCCTGCATGTGCTTGTCAGGTGACGGGGCCCCACACTAGAACTCTCATTTCAAAAGACAAGGAGGGACGAGTCACGAGTGAGCCAACACGAAAGCTTTATTGCATACACGCGTGTGCCGTCACGGAACCTCGGCTGACACAGCGGACCTCCTCCGTCTAGCAGAACACCCGCTGCAGCCGCCCCCCGGCAGCGGGGACCCCAGAGGAGGGCGGGGTGCCGGCCGCAGCCCCGGTCCACACATGGAGCTGCGGCGGCCCAGGGTCTCGAGAGGGCAGGGCCGAGCTCTGGACGCGGGCGTCTGCAGAAGGCGTTTTCGCAGTGCAGAGTGGCACCCCTCCAGGGGCCCGTTTTCATCTGAAGTGTGGAAACAACACCTTTGTACTTCTGTACTTTAAGGCACGGGACTAGCAACCCACACGGACAGCCTCAAGGGAATTCAAGCTCAGGCAAGTGGACATCCCCGCACTGCTTCGGCTCAGTGTGGAAAAGCCCAAGTCCCCTTCCCCGGGTGAACCCACCAGGAGGAGCTGGAAATGAACCTTCGGAGGACCCGGAGCGTCCTCCATCACCAGGGCCCTGCAGCGCTGGGCCGGGCCTCCTCGGTGGTTCTTGTGCTTCCCCGGGGAAACGAGAGCCTCCCCGAGCACACTCCTCCCACCGAGTCGGTCGGAGTCACGCCGGGCAGGTGTTTCGGCAGCCTCAGAACCACCCTCCCTCGCTCCTTCCCCCCCTCCACCCCTGCGCGGCCTGGGAACCTGCAGGCGGCCACTCGCAGGAGGCGGGTGGCATGCGGCCAGCAGGCGTCAGGCGTTGTGCGGGCTTTTTGCCTCATGTTGTGTTTATTTCACCCAATTGCTTAAGATAAGCAATCCACCAAGTAAAATACACATCAAGTGGTTGAAGCGTACAGCTGCGACAGCCACAAGTTTTAAGATGTTGGTAGAAATTATGGGTGCGCTGAATTCCGGTGAGCGTTTCCGCCCTGTCGATCCCCTCCACGGCCCTGGCGTTAAAAACGTCTCCAATAAATCCTATGTCACGGGCAGGCCACGAGACTGAGCAGTGCCCTGTCTTGCTCGGGCAACCAGAATACCCGTCACGTGCCCTGTGTGCGCACACGTCCGCGTGTTACCGGGACACTTGGAAACTCCTCTGCACTCCGCACAGGGGCAGTGGGACCAGACGGGTCTTTCCGACAACCTGAAATGCGCCGTGAAGCAGGCGGCTCCAGCATGCACACACCTGCGGTGCAGGGGCAAAGGGGAAAGAGCCAAAACCCCTGAAGGGCAGCGGTGTGCGGGGTGGCAGGCGCCCACACGGGCACTTGGGCAGCCGAGCCCGGGCCGTGGGGCACTTTGCGGTGCGAGTGCGCACCTCAGTCCCAGGGTTCTGTGCCCGGTGGGTGCGTCACTGAGTTCCGGGGGGGTCCTCGGGTTCGGAGGCACGCGTCACCCGGCACGCTCTCGGCACGTGTGCGTCCTCCTCAGGCCGGCACACGCGGCTCAGGACACGGCCACAGACACTCGGAGGGATACAAAGCGTGCTTTTAATCGTCTAGTGAGAAAAACATACTCCAAAGTAAAAACTGTGTGACGATGTTGCAACACCGAGGTCAGTCCTGGCAGGAAGCAGCTTCGGAAACCCAGGAGGCGGAGTCGCCCCCGAACGCCAGCTGCTGGCACCCTGGGTCCTGGGTGGCCGGGCGAGAGGGCAGAAGGGAACCGAGAGCCAGCTCCAGCCCGTCCTGCGCTCGCCTGTGCCACGCTGACCCTGTGCCACGCTGACGAGCGGGCGCAGCAGCGATCGGCCGAACCGTGTCCCTGTCTGCTTACCCCGGCCGACCTCACAGCCCTCGGGGCGGGCAGTGGGAGCTGGTCTCCCCTCACAGGCCGGAACGGGCACGACGGGCAAGCACCGGCGCTCGTGGCTGCTGTGCAACAGCCTCGTGCGGACCCTGACCATCTGGGTCACGTTCCAGAAAGACCCCAGTTGTGTGTCGCTGCACTGTTTCGTCAACAAGTGACAGCACGCAATCAAAAACTTCGGCGTTTCCGCTTTATGTGAGCTGTTTCGGAGCAGCACACCGCGACTTGGGAGCGGGGGCAACCCCCGGAACGAACGGTCTGCGCAGCCCGGCTGCCCAGCGTCCTCCCTCGCGAGCACCCGGCTTCTCAGTAACGCATCTTCGTAGTCACAAAAGTGTTAATAGTTTTAATACTTTCTTTCTTTGATAATGGGCAGAAATATACTAATATTTCATAATCTTTCAGCTTTTCTCTTTAAAAATAAATGGCACAAAATAAGTCACTGAGAACTTTTTCCTGCAAAGACAAAAATGATTATCTGTCATAAGAATTTAGAAGAAAATATATATATTTCCTTAAGCCATTTTCTTCTGAATCCAAACCAGCATGTAGAGATTATAAAAAATAGCATCTATTTACACGGCACGGCGTGCCCCAGTGACACGCGAAGCACGGCCACGACGAGGCAGACACACGGGCCCGCCTCCCGGACACCCAGCCTCCCCCACCAGCAGGGCCTGCCGCCTGGCTGTGGGCTGTGACGGCTGCTGGCTCGCGGGAGGGGTCCAACACACAACACTGGACGATACCATCGGCCAAACATGCCTCAAGTGTCCACGCTTTATAAAACGAGTAAGGCATGTCCAGAGAAGAACAGGAAGTATAAAAACAGCGTCGGTGATTGGGGGAGGAGGGCGCCTTCCAGCACGCGGGGCGGGGCCGACACCCCAGGGAGCAGCGCCTCGGCCCGCGGGGCCTACGTCACCACGTGCGGTCTCGTCCCATCTTCCGTGAGGTCATACCTGAGGGCGCAGGGAGAGGAGGGTGGCAGGCGGTCAGGGGGACAGTGTCAGCAGGCAGACAGGGGCTCTCCGCCCAGCGGCTGGTCATTTGTGGGGGACACTCACCACTGGGTCCAGCCTTTGGCGAGCTCCTCCGACGCCAGAGCGACCAGCACCTGTGGGTCAGAGGGCGTCGGTGAGGGTGGGCCAATGGCACCCCTTCGGCTCTGCCCCTCCCCGACCTCCCCAGCCTCCCGCGGGCTGCTGTGTGCAGCTCCCCTTTATTTCCAGCCTCTCGTCCTCCACAGAGCTCTCCCCTAGGGAGACCGCTGAACTGGCAGGGGTCGGTCCTGGCCAGGAGGTCCTTCCTGAGCCCATCGGTCTTAACGTCCACTCACTGCGAAATGTCAGCGGGGGTCAAGGCTACAGGCTCTCGGGCCACACAGCCCACAGCTGACACGGACCGCCCATGAACGGCACCTGCACCCCAGCCTCTCCTCCCCTTCGCCTCCACGAGTCTCAGCAGGGAACGCACGCGAGTTACGTGTGGGCGGGGCCAAGACGGAGAGAGCTCAGAGAAGTGAGGCCCAGGAGGCGCCAGGGTCATGCACAGTAGTGGGTGGGGGAGGTGGACATGGAAGAGGACAGCCCTCCGTCGGGCTCTCTCTGCGGTCCTTGAAAAACACACGTTTCTTCCACTGCGAGTTCGTGGTGTGGAGACAACGAAACACCATCCTCACAGTGCACGCGTGTCGGCTGACACAGTCTTTCACGGGCCGCGGCTCTACCAGTAAGCACCCACCGGTCCCCGAGAAGCCCACCCCACATGCACCTGGGGCGCTGCTGAACTCTCGCGAAGTGCGGGACCCACCTCGGGTTCCTCCGACTCACCTTGCCGAGCAGCCCTTTGTCCTTGGACAGGAAGCCGCCGCTGTTCTTCACGGCCACGTCCAGGGTCCTCCGCTGCACGTCTGGCAAGGACACGCTGAAATCAAAGCTGGGGGAGAAAGAGGGTCTTCCTGCAGCTTCCGTCATCTCACTGCAGCTCATCGTGGCTGAACAGGACACTCACGCTTAGAGACCCCCCAAACGTTACAGTGTGTCTGTCACCGTAAAACAGGGTTCTCGGGCTAGGTGTCTGGGTCCCGGATTCCATGAAACCACAACATCAAAGTACTTTCCATGGTTTCAAATGTAACAGAAGACGCCGGCCCCCGGGCCCCCCACCTACGGGCGGGGCAGGCAGGATGTGGGCCGTGGATACCATGTTCTGCCCACCAGGAGTCAGGCTGGCTTCCCCGCCCCGCCCCCCGGGCGAAAGGAGAGCAGTTTCAAAGCCCGGGTGAGCTGACCCAAAGTGCTCTGCGACCTGGCTTCCCCACGGGAAACCGTCTACACGGTGCTCTCCCGTGGCTGGAGTCAGACGCCACAGACTCAAGGGCCTCCGGGGAAGCAAGTCCTTGACGCCCGCCGGTGTGCGGCCCCCGCGCCGCAGGGTCTCCGGCAGACTGCAGGACTGAGGGCCTGGGAGGGGCGTGGCCGGGGCGTGGCCGGCCTCCCACCGAGCTGCCCCAGCGAGAGACCCAAGCCTGGGGGCTCCGAGTCGTCCGCGCTGCCGCTGAGCGGGAACACAGGGTGCCTGCCCTGCCCTGGGACCTGGTGCGCGCCTGTCCCGAGAACCTGACAAAGGACTGGCAGCACCTTTAGAGATGAAGACTGAATTAGGAGAGACTGAAACCACTCGACTTCACTATTTCCCAAAATGCTGGCGGCTTTCAGGGACAGAGGACTGTAGAGGGAGATGCCAGTGTGCACAGACGGAGGCTCTTTGCGGGCCTCAAGGCGCTCAGGGGGCCGCCGCCCCAGACTGGCCACAGGGCGGAAAGGGGCCTCTCCTAGGCCAGACCATGAAAGAGGTTCGAGAAAACCCAAGACAATTATGCTGCTCTCTTCACTCATTTTTAAGCTGTTTTGGAAACCAGCTGTTTCTCATACGAATGTTGTATTTTAAGATGTTGCAGATTTATCATGACTTTTAAAAACCTATGTACTTTAATCTGCTCAGTTTTGACTTGAAACTCCTTTGTTCTCCACCTCCCACCAGTCTCCCCACCCGGGTCTACGGCCCGCGGCTCCTGCCGGAAACCCGCGGCGCTCCTGTGTCTCAGCCCGCTCGCGCCTGCCCCACGGGCCGTGCTCCCTCCGGTCTCGGCCCTGCGCGGGCTCCCGGGCGCCAGTCCCTGGGAGGCTCCGACGGGGCCCCCCTCACTCAATCAGACGGTCGGCTGGGTCGAGTCCCTACCTCTGATCAAACACGGGGTTCAGTGTTTTCTTCGACACGTGCGTTTTTCTCCTCCCCGACCTCCTCTTGTCCGGTAACAAGTACATGCGGACGTAGGGGTCGGAGCCGTCTTCAGAGAAGGCGATGAGATTCCTTGCAGCACAAAGCGGAGAACAGCGGCCATTAGAGTCCACGACGACGACAATTAGCGTCACGCTCACATGTGCTACAGCCAGTCCTCAAGACCCGTCGTTGTGTCACAGTGTCCACGAGGAAAAAATCCCCAAGGGGAACTGTCTGCCCGGACCTTGCACGCCCTCCTGCGTCCTCCCCGGGGACCCTGGCGAGTCCGTGCAGCCTGAGTGGGTGCAGTGCAGGCGCCCCCAGATGGAAGGGCGTCCGGTCCCACAAACCAAAAGGTCGCCTGCTCGCCTTCCAGTCGGGGCACAGGCCCGGGGTGCGGGTTGGGTGCCTGGTTGAGGTGCATACAGAAGGCACCCGACCGATGTTTCTCTCTCACATCAATGTCTGTCTCATCTCTTTCCCCCTCCCTTCCCCCCTGAAAGTCAAAAATTTAAAAAGCAAACATGTTTACCATCCAGTTCCACGCAACCGACCACCCGAACCCCCATGGCCCGAGGGAGCGCTGCACAGGGGCCGAGAGGTCGTGAGGGCGTGAACCGGCTTGGGGAGCGAAGGAGAGCCGCAGCGGAGCCCCAGGACCACAGCGCGGGGTGCGGCCGAGAGGCCGCCCCGGGGGAGGCCGGGCCCCGGGCCCCGCTCACCTGCAGGCGTGCACAACCACCACCAGCTTGTTTCTCTGCGAGCTGTGCCGGACGGTCAGCTGGATCTGCCCCAGCGGAGACTGTCCCAGCGTCGTCCCGCTGAGGAAACAGAGCAGGGGTCACAGCTGCCCCAGACCTGGCCCAGGCCCCGCGTCCCCGCGACAGCACGGCACGGTCATGCTCACGCGTGTGGGCTGGAGGGGATAGGATGACCTGGACACCTTCGAGCCCCGGAGCGTAAAGCGACCTGTCCCGCCCTGCGTCAGTGGAGGGTGAGTGCGACTTAATCGTTCACAACCGGCCGTTTTCCACTGGGGCCCGCAGTGACACCGGGCAGGGAGGACTCCCGGCTACACCCATTGGTGCTCTGGGCCTGGTCTTTGGGCCCGGGGCTGCCCAAACCCACGTGTCCTTCCTCAGAACCCACCCCCGTCCCTGGCTCTGTGGTGCACCGACAGGACGCCCGGTGACATCGCGACGCCCCTTCGGTTTCTCCCTCTCAAGGTCAAGGCACAGACCCTGAGACGGGCAGCAACTGCCTGGCTCAGTGTCCCTCAAGACCCTCTCAGCGGCTCCCCAAAGCCAGCTCCTCAGAAAAAGTGGTTGCTTATTAAAGTTCTGTTTTCTTCTAGAGCAAGAGAGGAGGAGAGACTGATTTCTTTCTCCCAAAAGAGTGGGCGTGCGAAGGTGCGAAGGAGACAAGCATCCTGAGCGCGGCCTCGGGAAGGACACGGGAAGGACAGACGTGTGCCTGCGCCCCGACGCCAGCAGCACACGCTTCACCTCTGCCCCCCGGCTGCTCCTCACTCCCCTCTCGGCAGCACCAAGAGAAAGGGCTGTCTCCAGGGCAGCTCCCTTCTGCCGAGAGGGAAAGGCTAACATCGGAAGCTGCTGGTGCCTGCAGACTGTTCTTTCCTCTAGGAATCACGGGGTTGTAAGAGGCCAACACAAACGTCCAAAGACAGGCAGGCAGCAGCTGGGGGCCAGCAGCGGGGCGCTGAGTGAGGAGGAGAGAAGGGGAGCCCTGACCCCGCACAGCAGACGCCAGTCGCCGTGGTCAGGGGCAGCAGGTCGGCTCGGACTCTGCCTCTGGTCTGAGCACAGGCGCCCAGGAGCGCCAGAGCCCCTGTGTTCAATGTGCTCACGGGACCCAGCTCCCCATCGCATTCCAACCCTTAAGCGAGCCCGGCCCGGGAACCTTTGCCAGGGCGCTGCCCCCAAGCTCCTTCAGCTGCAGTGAGAGCCAGCACCCCCACAGCGACCGGGGCGCGCGGCGACTCGGCAAGAGCGAAGGGTGCGTCTAGTTACTTCTCGAGCTGCCGAAGCCTCTGCCGCAGCTCCTGCGTGGCGATGGGCAGCGATATGTCCGAGGCTATGCTGGGCGTGGGCTCCTTGACAAACATGTGGCTGGGGGAGCCGGTGGCGCCGACCTGCAGGCTGGAGGAGCTCCGGCCCAGGTCTCGGGGTCCCTGGGGGCTGGCCTCCGCAGGCGGGGCTCTGTCCTCCAGGCCAGGCCTCGCAGCGCCCCCGATGATGGGCGTGGACGGGGCCGGGCTGCCGTCACCAGTGCCTGGCGACGCAGACATCTGAGACCGGACAGATGTTTTCCTCCCTTCTTTGGAAACGGAGGGTCGCTTTACTTGAGCTGAGTGTTGGTGGTCCGGAGACCTGTCCTGCTTTTCCAGGTGGAGTACCTAGAGGTAGGAAGAAATGCAGTTACAATCAGTAACACTGGAAACAGCCTGATACGTTTATTCATAAATGTTTCCTTAAAACTTGGCACAAAGCATTATAAACAATCTGGTCTGTACAGCTATTCTATTACTAAAGTAATACAATGTTACGTAAAGCTTTTAAAAAGGAAAGTTAAAGTAATCAAAGTATCATTTTTACGATGTGAAAGTCATTTCTGTGCACTCTCTTCAGCCTCTTCTGCCAGCGGGCAGTACTGCAGGGTCGTGGCTCACGTTACTGCTGGAAGAGAGCCCCTCACGCTACACAGGTGGTCTCCACCAGCAATCTTGCGGGAGGATGCGAGTCAAGGACCCCTCTAGCCAGCAAGGTTACCCCAGATGCCCAGCATCAATGGGGCGCAGCACGTGTCCTCAGCTGCCAGAGTACCTAGATCAATCACTTTGCTACTTTTTAATATTTACTTTCGAGTACACAACCTCCCACTGAGCAGAGTCTGTGCTCCGCAAGCCTGTCGTCATGCACTCTGAGGTGATGGTGAGGCCGGAAGTTCTTCCCGCTGTTGCCAAATACAGCTGCAGCGAGCAGCTTCTTGCTCAGGGCCTCCCCACCTGGTGCACTGCATCAAAAAGACTTCCAGAGAAAGGCCCCTGGTCCCAGGGGCTCTATGACGTGCCACCTGGAGAGAGTGCAGTCCTTTCAGAAAGGCTGTGCACAGCCAGGGTCCTGGCCAGGAGTCAGGAGACCGTTTCCACTGCCCCCTCTGTGCACTGGGTCTGTCCTAATTCTTTTCAAAAGATCATTCTCCATTTTAATGAGCATTTTTAAAATTAGTGAGTTTCAGCATTCTCTCATATTCTCCAGTTTTACCTTCAACTTTTCCTTAGGTGCTTACAAATGATTTATTGTCTATTTTAGACCTAAAACATCTTCCTGTAATTTCTACTACCTTGTAGAGTTTTATTCAATTCTCTCTTTCGAAGGAAGGACTGTTAAGGATTTAATTTTAGCAGAAGACTTCGTTGATCCAGACAGCAAGTTTCTGGGCCAAAGGATAAAAAATAGCCGACGGCATTCACGGGAAGGCGTAACGAATTCCACAGGCTGCACAAGCAACCCGGAAACGCTGCCACGTGGGACGGCACCTTCCTGCCGGTCCTGGCCCTGTGACAACACGCTGACCACCGTCCACCCTGTCCTGAGCCCTGTGCAGCAGTGCCCGAGAGCCTCGCCGCTGCAGCCCATCCCTGCCCACCCGGTGCCTCCCGCGGGAGACTACGCACCCTGAGGGCAATCTTCATCTTCAGGGTGCTGTTCGGCCCTGAATTGCTGAGCTGGAACCGCTGGTTGATGGTCATGTCGTTGCTGGTGAGCAGCCGGCTGAGCGGGATCCTCAGGTTCCCCAGTGAACACTGGTGCTGCTCGTCTCTGACCTGCGGAACACCACAGCACACACTGAGCGCCACGGGCAAGGCGGAGACTGCGGGAGGGTCCGGCCCGGTCTTCCACAGGCACGCTCCAGCCACCTCCTGCGACGATGAACACAGAGCGCAGCCTCCTCGGGAAGGCAGAACACTGTAACCAGTGATGCTGCAATGTATCCACATCACGTGTCTCTGTCACTGCCCCATCACACAGCGAGGAGCACGAGAAAGAACACGACTTTCACAAGTCCATTCTGAACCCAGATGCAAAAGCCCTTAACAAGGGTTTAGTGCGTGGAACTGAGTGCACAGGAAGGACAGGACCTCACAGCTGAGTGGGCTTATCCCTCAACACAGGCTTCCTCGTGAGACTTTCTACGGCAAACCTTGCAAACCAAATAGAGGCTCACAAGGTTCAGCATCTGAAAATCCATGTGTGTCACCATATTTACAAACTTAGGGAAACCAGTGATCGTCTCACTGTTGAAAAAAATCTTCGATGAAATTCCACATCCATTCATGCCGAAACCATCGGCATACTAGGAGCAGGAGAAGGAAACGTCCTCAGACCTCAGGCTTAATGGTGAAGCCCTAAGTCTCCCCGTAAGACTGGAAGAGGCCAAGGGTGCCCTCCCGAGAGGCCCAGGGCCGGCAGGGCAGGAGGGCGAGGCCCGGGAGTCAGCAGCACCGGCCGGGGGGCAGGGGAAGCACAGAAGCAGAAGCGCCCTTACTCTTCACCGACAGTCCCGACGCAGCCCCAAACAAGCCAGTGGAACTAATAAAGGTCAGCAAGGCTGACAAAAGGGTGCGCAGGTACACCCTGGGGAAGTGACAAAATCAACTAAAAGTGTAAAATTAAAAAAAGAAAAAAAGTCCGCAGCACCACAGATCCCGAGAGACCGAGGGCCAGGCCTGACAGAGACGCACTGAGATTGGGTGCTGGGTCCGTGAAAGGGGACCCTCAAACACGTGCAGATCCTTGTGTGCAGGCGGCATCTCAGGCCGCCTGCTCGGAAGGCAGGCAGAATACCTCGACTTCAAGGTCCTGGCGCTTGGGGTTGTGGACGAAGAAAGTGAAGTTCTCCTCCCACACAGGCTCGTTGGTTTTGTAGCGAATCTGAAAGAAATACCAACAAATCAGCTCTGCGATATTTTCCGTGCTTACTCCTTCACTGTGTCTGAAAGCCTGGGACGGCTTTCATTAAATTCCAAGACATACGTTTTACTGAGCATGCACTGCTATGCATTAACCGTGGGACCTGTCCAACACCCAGAGCCCCAAGCTTTCCGAGTGCACGGGCAGGCGGCCGTGGAGTCCCTGGGACGGAGGTTTCGCCGGCGCAGCCTCCTCTGCGCCGCCAGGCGCTGCACAGCGCTGCGCTCCGAACAGTCACAAGAGAACAGAGGCCTGGAACTTCACACCGTTCTGGGAACGCTTTGCCTCCTCTCACGTCCGGAAAGTAGGACAAGCCGAGCCGCGGCAAGGGCCCCCTCCACCCCCGGCAGAGCTGCTGGTGCCGAGTTCTATGCGCTTTCAGTACAGTTGGCTATCTTTTAAACAAAGTATTTATAGAACATTCGATGAAACTTTCATCTACCAATGGAGTCAAGCAAAAGCATACTCGTGTTAGCTTTGCTGTTATTTAAAAAGTGGACAATATCCTTGTCCCTGCATGAAGGAGCTGCTGCTCCGTGAGGTGGCTGATTCGAGCAGACAAAAGAGCAGCGTGGGCACCAGCAGTCCGCCGCCCACCCCGCGGGTGACAGGCAGGTCCCGCACACGGCCAGCCTCACCTTGCTCTCCTGGGCCTTGTGACCGACCGACATCCGCACCAGAGGGTTGGGGCTGCTGTTCACCTTCTTCCCTGACTGTCCGGAAACAGAAGACGGACCAAGTGAGTGAACGGACACCCTGAAACGGGCTGTTACAAATGAACTTGTTGGTGTGCACTGACAGGCATCCCATTCACTCCTCAGTCCTCAGCCACAGGGACTGAGGCCGGGTAGCGGGGAAGGGCTGCTGAGCACACTCCAAGCCCAACTACCTCTCCCAGGAAATGCACCAGGGAGACGTCTATTCGTGTGCAAGTGTTAAGGGTTAAAGTCTTTTCTTTTTAGAGCAAGCTACTTTGGAAAAATGAAATCTTCTGAATATCTTTTCATGTTAATTCCACTCTCAAAACTCATTTCACCAGGACAACAAGATAAAGTGTAATGAATGAACAGAAAACCGTGAGCAAGGACAAATGTAAAAGAGTTTATAATTCAGAACAGCCCTCTTTCTGGAATAATAAAAACACTGCAAAACGTCAGAAACGTGTTTTTACGTTTTTAACTTAGCATCTTCTGTTCAAACATGTAGTTACCAAGTATCAAATCTCGCTGACAGCGGCTCAGTAACTTTGATGGCAGAGCAAATGTCGATCTAGAGTCACATTGAACTAAGCAGGTATCATAAATAATTTAAAATGGTAAGAAGCATACTTTAGCACAGAGAGCTGATTAGAGAAAGCACAGGAAAACACAACATACATGGGACATGAGGTTTATTTATAACTGAGCCCCACAGAAGATAGTTAAATATGTTAGTGGAAATTAATTATAAGGTCACCATTATTTTTAGTAACAATTTTGAAGTCAATCCTCAACACTGCAGCAATGACAAAAATAAGTATCAAATTCATATGATTATTTGAATAAAATATTACTAGCCCAAACCTACTGCAATAATCTACTTTCTGGTTCATCTTTATGATGTGAGTGAATTCTGCAAAATGAAATAAATGCTGTTAAAAACTCAAAGGCTGCAGACTGTGGTGGCAGAGAACACTGTTTTCTCTTAAACGCACTTTCTCCTTCTTCCATGAGCAGGGAACCCCGGGTGTCAGCTGAGCACCAGTCCTCTGTGAATAAAGATTCTCCTTCCCACCCTCCCTGGCGGTCATGTGTGGCGACTGACAGTCTGGCCTTAAAGGGAGGGGCCTCCCCAGCGCCCCCCCGGGTGGAGGTGTGAGCAGGTCCGAGCCCCAAGCCACACTCTGTGACGCTGGGGGCTCTCCTGTCTTGCTGACCCTACAACTGCCGTCGGAGTCTGATTCAGAAGCCGAGTGTGTTTCTTGCCTGACACACTTACTTCATCTCTGCCAAAGCAGTCACTCATTCCCAGAGACTTCCTGGGAATCTGTCCCATTTAGGACACGCCTTTTCTTTAAACTTTCTGCCATCTTTGAAAACAAGGAAACGGCGGCCGGCTTTGGGACCTGCCTTCGGGAAGATCGCGGAGGCCGCTTCCTTAACCCGCTGGCTCTGCTCCCAGACCCCTTCTGCTGTGCATGTGAGCGACACGACATTCCTGCAGTGTGTGCAAAATAAACACTATCACGTCAAACCTTAACTGACACGCTTCCTTTCTTTCTTTGTGCCACATAAACTAGTGTTATGTCTTAAAACAGATGATGTCTGGGGTCCTAAATCGCTATGTCTTCCACCACGATGCCATCTCAAAGGGCACCAGGGCCACTCAGAGACACAGGGCCTCAGGCAAGTGAGTCTGGGCCGGGCCGCACTTGCACCTCAGCTCTCCCCCACTGGACTGTGGAGGCCACACGTCGTCGAGGTGAATCTCAGCTTTCAGGTCTGTAAGGCGGACACAACAGCATTTCCAGAACCTGGCTGTCAGGCCTCAGTGCGAGATGTGGCAACAACTGAAGCAAACACGCTGGACCGGCTGCACGGAGCCCTTTCCGTGCACGATCTCGTTTACCTCACTCACTGCCCCGGGAAGGGGACGCTGCCCTCCGTTCTGTGAGTGACGGGGAGGGTTCACTATCAGGCCAGGCTGAGGGGGAGTGGCCCTGCGGGGACTCCCGCCCAGGCAGTCCGGCCTCCCGGCGTTGCTCTGGCCATGACGCAGAAACGGGGAGGGGGCTACCTGTGCGGTTCTGCCCGGTGCCTCAGTGGAAACTGTTACTTCATCCCCTGCCGGGCCCCACGGCCTCTCCTCGGCACTGAGTGCAGGGGGTGGGGGCTTGGCTCCACGGGGGGCGCGGCTCCATCAGAGCAGGCCTGACTGGTCTCCCTCGCTTCTGAAATTCAACTTATCCTTCCGGGTGAAACTGATTTTAAAGCATTCCTGATTCCCTTCTATGGAATTGTCTTGAAGCAATTACGTTTAAACCCTCCTCCACATAGTCAGCCCTGAAATGTTCAAACGAACTGAAAAAAAAAAAAAACCTGTAAGTCATCAGAAACCTCTAACAGCTGAGCCAGACAGGGCTTGTCCATGGTGTTTGGGAGTGGAGCTGAGTTCTCAATACACCTCACTGGGTGAAGGCAGAGCTTCCAGAGAGGCCTGGCCCCGCCCAGCAGCACAGAGCTCGGGCCGCCAATCAGGGACGGCCCGACTCAGCATATTGGAAGAGGTGATGTTCAGACAGACAGTCACAGTGCACAAGGGGTGCCTTCCAGCCATAATCCGAAAGGTGGTGAAGATTTCAAACCGGACTTCCACTTCACCATTTTCACAATTTCAAATCCAATTAAAATACAGATGATTTACAACCACCTTAGATACTGCTGCCTCACTCAGGTCAACAGAACAGATATCTAATTTATCACATTGGAACTTCATAAAATTTATCTTTGAAGTTGACTTATATTCTTCTAACTACTGTTTTTTGGGGTAACAAAAGCAGGCTCTCTCCAATGACAACTAATTACTAATTAGTCATAAACCCATGAGGGTTAAGGCATCATCTCTTTCAATATGTCTTCACAAACTTTTCAAAGGGAAAACCATTGTTTACCTTGAAAGCTTTCTGAGCTGCAGCCTTCTTCAAGACATCAGCGTTAAATTCTAATGGGTTACTCTTTCAAGTCAGAAGAGAATGAATATACCAAGGGTTAATAAAACATGCAACGAGGAGTTTATGTATGGTTAATGACATGAACATTATGCAAACAAACAAACAAAATCTTTAAAGGAAAACCACCAAGAATTACACACAAAAAAAACAGTAAAAATCATTTGTTATTTTTTCTTTATGCTCAAGATTTTATCTCAGAGTGACGCTTTAATCTATAAATATCAAAACACATGTCCTTCTCCTCTGTGGTTACTGTGCCTCTTATCTTTGGGGTTTCAAAGTCCAGTAGTGATGCTTTAAGAAAGGCTTCTATCTCCTCTCCTTTGCTTGAATAAAGCCCTAAAATGCCCGTAATTACCCTGAAGTTTTTACCTGAAGTACCAACAAATGGGCCATAGTGTCCGAATGACTCTCAAGCCAAGTACACGCTGCAGTGGCAGATGCCTCTTCTCTCCCCCCTACAACCTGCTCCCCTCGGCAGGGACGGGCCTCCCCACTGCGTCCCCCGCTCTCTGCCACGCAGGAAATGCTGGGGCTGCTGATCGCCAGAGTTTCTCCTGGCTTCAAAGTTCCGTTGTTACGGGTTGTGTCCTACTTCTACTGACTGTGAATGCGCTCCTTTCTGGCCTCCAAAGGGAAAGGCGGAGTTGTTTGGCAAGCCCCTTCAAAGGCAGACACATACAATGAAAGATTTTACCATTTTAGGTGTAATTAACTTAAAAGGACAAACTGAATTTCATTTCTACCTTTTTATAAATGGCAGATTTTATCATGAAGAACGGGACACTCTGCCTCCAGCCTCCCGTGGCTGTGGCCGGCCGGGCGGGCGAGGAGATCGCACGTCCAGCCAAGAGGACTGAGTGCGCGTGGGCGCCAGCCTCAGCCCGCGCTGGCACCGCAGCCGCCCGCCCGGCTCGAGGGCACTGGGACCCCCGGGAGCATTGCTGGGGGGAGCCCAGGCAGGGGAAGCTCTCTCCGGGCGGGGGGGCCGTGTGCTAAATGCACAAATCACCGTAGCGTGCATCAGTGACCGCAAGCAGGCAGGGAGAGGGGCTGTGTGGGGTAGGATAGAGGGTGCAGGGGAGCCGTGTGACAGCGTGGAAGCCGCCGAGGCCTGGGGGTGACACGGACCAGGCCAGCCAGGTGCTCTGGGGGGGCCCAGCCTGGGTGGGGCCTTCCGCCTGGGCCCCTCACCATTAACGGGGCAGCAATGCCACCTGTGCTTCCCAGTGAGAAGGCGCTAGGTCTCCCTGTCACGCGGCTCACATTTTCCCGTACAGTGGACCCGCGTGTGGAAACCACGCATCTCAGGTAAGCCCCGCCCACAGCATCACGACCTTAACAAAGCGAGTGGGCTGGAGCACACTGGAGGCTCCAGAGTGTGGCTCTGGGTCACGGGCTGAGTCCAAGCCCAGCCCGGCTGCTCACGAGCTCAGTCCCTCGAGCCACGTTGGCTCCTTGTCTGAGAAAGTGATCTTCACGGCCACAGACTAGATGAGCCCTCCACGCAGAGCCGTGGAAAGTGCTCCACAGACACAAGTCACCCTAGGAGCTGAAGGCCTAAAGCTGCACCGTCAGCATCCCTCCGAAATTCCAGCCCGAGACTCGATCAGAGGAGAGCTGGTGCAGAGCTGGCTTGTGAAGAGGCCATTTCCGGTCTGGGATAAAGGTCGGTGGTGCCACCTCACGGGGGAGTGGCTGAGGGAGCGGACGATGAAGGGCGTTTTCTGCAGGGGAGGGTAGGGGCTCATCGGGCTGGCGGCCATCCAGAACCCTTCCTAGAAGCAGGAAGGGCTCAGGCTTCGGAGGAAATGGAGAAAGCACTGATCTAACTTCACAGTGAAAACCAACGGATTTTTAAAGAGCAATGACTTTGTTCAAATTTAGTTTATAGAGCATCCTGTCGATGCCAACATCTGACTCACAAAGCAGAGCATGTGACTCTGGTAATCGAGGGGAAAAGGTGGTTTGGTAACCAAGCACTGTCGCCAGGGCCCATCGCAAAGCAATGACACCCGTCAAAAGGGTTCATGCGGGGCCTCTGGCGAGGGTGGCCACCCGAGAGGAGCCACCACGGAAGCCACTTCACAACAGTGGTGCAGAGCAGATGCCAACATGCCCCCGGGGCTCTCTGGGTGCAGGGGGGGAGGCGGGAGCCCGCCTCCTGTCGGGGTGACGGAGCCTCGCACCCAGCCCTGCGTCCTGACTCTCCTCCTCTGTCAGCGGGGTGATGGACCTGTAGTTTGAGTTCTGCCCACCTCCCTTTTTCCACGTGGACACAGAATGAGAGCTCTTCACAAGTGCAAAGCCGCCTGTTAGTTTCCGGGACCAAATGAACTTGAAGAATCTCACTATCACTGAATTAAATCAGCAGTCGGTCAAGAACGGGTGACTCAGATTCACGACTAAGCCATCGGCGACTCCCTCTCACCCCAGAGCAAGGAAAAATAACCGCCTTCTGCGGGCACCAAGGGCAACTCGGGGAACTGCGCGCGACAGCCAGGCCCTGGGAGACAGAACGAGGGCAAATCAGCTCCCCGCGCAAGGTCAGAAACACACCCTTGTCCACTCCAGGAAACTCCTGAAGCTCCTTAAAAGAAGCTGAATGATCATAAACTCAATCATCCTTTTCTCTCTCGGGAGCTCTGGTTGGACAGTGAGGGAGAAGGTCAGCTTCCAGGCCCACAGGTGCATTTCTGTCCTCGCTGACCAGCCCGTGGGCACAGCAGGGACTTCCAAGGAGAGCCACGTTCTAACACTTCCTCTGGGTCAGGAGGAGAAAGCAGACTGGAGGGAGTTTTTTGAAAGCCTGCAAAGAAATATTTACATCTCACACTGAGATGAACCACAAGAAAATCAAATGAATCGTTATGGCTTCCTTTTTCCACAGGAGGATTATTTTTGCTTTTCTGTGGGCTTCCTCATGACTCACCCGGTCTGTTCATCTCATTATCAGACACAGCAGCCAGTGTTAGTCACAGCACTGTTACGTGTCACGGAACAGGCACAAAACAAGCACACACGGCCACGGAAACCATGCAAGAGAAGCAAGGGGCATGCCACGCTGTTCCACCCGAGCGGACGGTGCCCGAGCTCCCGCGCACATTCCCGCGGTCTCCACGGAAGCACGAGGAGGGAACCCCGGGGAACTCACAAACAGCGCTCTATAGACCGAGGCGGTGTTTTCACAGAACACCAGTCCGGACGCGCGCCTCTCTTTTAAGTAGCCACACCCAAAGCTTCCCTCGTAGATACTCTTAGGAAGTGGGGATGGGAGGAGAGAGCAGAGAACGGGGCTGCGGTCAGTGCGCGCAGGAAGCCCGTGCACAGGAGAGCGAAGGGCAGCCCGAGCACCCACAGGACCCCGGAGCGGCGGCCGCGCCCCACAGCAGGCACCAGCAGGGCCGTGGCGCCGTGAGGGTCGTCTGCCTCTGGCAGCCAGAGCACACGGCCTGTGCAAGGTGCCCTTTAACGGAAGGTTAATAAATTCACCTGCTGTTTGTTTTTTCAATCTTTGCCATGTGATGTCACTGAAATTTTAACTCATGTGATACAACACACAGTTCTGAAGCGCAGCCCCTCCTTCTCGCCAGCTCCCCAGCACAGCACGGCTCTGTGTGCCCTGCCGCGTACCACAGGCTCACTCCCGCCCGGCACGGTGAGGGCCTGCTAGCAAGCGTTACTGTGGTCGAAAACAAGAAGCTGTGCCACACGAGAAGGTCTGTAGGAAGGTTAAATAATAATGAAGTAAACTGCAACAGAAAAAACAGACTTCAGTTGGCAGAGGGGCCCAAAGGTGAAGGTAATGACTTCAAGGGAAATCAAGGTCAGTAAAGACACGGTCACTGAAAGGTGGACTGTGGCCGACCCTGGAACAACGTGCGTCTTGGGGGGCTCGCACGGCTCAGGCCGCGTTGCTCGGGGTCCTGCGTCCCTGGTCGGGGCCGGGGCCTGCGTGAGCGGAGGGCTGGCGGCAGTGCTCTGTGGACTTCGACTGGGGGCTTGCAGCCCTAGCCCCCCCGTTGTTTAAGGGTCAACTGTATAAGCAATTTCATGCTAAGAGTTCGAGGACATGTTCCTATTATGAAAAACAAGAAATGCTTGATCAGGTTTTAATTGCTAAAGACTTTAAACGAAGCGTACCGACACACCAAGTGCATCCACCGTGCTGTCGAGCAAAGCCCGAGGAACGCACACGTCTGAAACCCGGAAAGGTGCTGAGGTGAGGTGCGTGTGTCATGAAATCAAGGGGGCGCCGTCTACCCACGGCGAGGGGAGAGCGGACAGGCGGCCCGGGTGACACACCGAGGTGAGCCAGGGGCCGAGCGGCACTCTGCTCCCTGTGCGTCCACAGGGACAACGGACTTGGGGGACAGGCACCGACGACCTGCACGAGGGAGCTTCTGCCATGGGAGGTGGGGGTCGGGGGGAGCCCCTGCAGCCGGGAGGGGTCCTCTCTCCTGCCACCGCACGGGCCTTCGCCACGTGAAGCAAAGCGGGAAGGACCACGCCCGGAACCCGTGCGCGGCACTCGGAGCTCGCAGGAGCCAGAGAAAGAAGGTTTCTCACCCGCAGCGGGGGCGAACTGCGGCTGGGGGTCCCAGCAGGCCTCGCCCGCCCGAGAACGTGTAATTTTTCTTCCCCAAGTGACAGTGGCTTCTGTCTGTTACGGTTTTTTCTCGGAGCAAAGCAGCTCTGATGCAAGCAAGCGCGGTGCGCCTGCTCTGGGCTGCGGAAGCCGTGGTGGCGGGAGACGCGAGGCAGCATGTGTGTGTGCCGTGCGGCAGCCCTCCGTGCCCGAGGCTCCGCTCGCACGCCGCCCCTGCCCCTGCTGCCCCGCCCACCGCATCTCCCGGCCGCGTGGCGGCCAGGACGGGCTTGTCCTCAGAGGTGCTCCACGGCAGTGCCATGCCACACAGAGAATGAGCAGCCACGTTCCAACAGTCAGTGACCGTCTGCAGACTACCTTCCCCCTGGCTGCGAGGGGACTGCACAGACCCCTCCGGATCGGTGTCTCCTCACGCGACGTGCAGAGCAGAGACAGCTCTGAGCTTCCTGAGTGGCGAGGACGTGAAGATGCAGCGCCCCTCCCCACGGCTGCTCAGATGCAGCCACGGGAGCGGGTGGTGGTGTGGAAACCAGCGCCCCAGAGAGCTCCCACAGCGCTACCTACCGGAAGGTTCCTCGCTGAGTCCAAGTACAAGATCAGCAAGGAGGAGGAAAGGCCGTCGTTGGCTTGGCCCTTGCCGGCTCGGATGTCTGTGAGCACCTGCGAGGAGGGAGAGCGCCCCAGCGGGTGCGTGTCCAATGGGGTTCGACTCCCGCCCCCGGCCATGCCCGCCACGCGCATGAGAACGGGAACTGGGAGACTGAACCACCCGGTGCGTGCAAGCCGAGAGGGGACACGGGAAGGGCTTCCTCACGTCCCAGGGAGCACACAGCGGCCTGTGGCCCTCCAGACCCCTGCACTCGTGTGGGTGAGGATCTCGTGAAACAGGTATAAATGACCTGCAAACCTCTTTTTAAAACTCTGAGAGTACGGAGGTGACTTAAGCACAATAGCGCAAAGCACTGCTGCAGTGTTTTGAGCCGAGGGGCAGCGCCACCGGGAGACACTGATGCCCGTGGTCAGGCACACGCACCTGGTCCAGGCGGCCAGCGTGTGGCATCAGCGTCAGCCACTCCAGCTTCAGGTGCAGCTTCCCTCTGGGGACCTCGTCCAGGGTGAACCACTGAAGACAAGACGTGCGGGCTCAGCGGACGTGCTCCTGAGCACGCGGTTCACGCCGCTGGGACGCGCGCGGCCCTGGCCGCCGCCCAGGCCGTCTCAGCGCTTCACAGACACTGCCGGGTCGATCCCACCAGAGCCCTGTGGGTGAGGCACTTTCACCCCCGATTCCCGCGCGAGGGTCCAAACGTCTCCCGGCTCCCTCGGCTCCAGCGTGCAGGCCGCACTAGAGTTTGTGGGCCCGGAGGTAACGACACATGGGGCCCAAGTGCGGAACTTCAGTGTCAAACAAGTTATCGTGTTTGTTTTCACTCATCACTACATACCAATAACAAAACTGTCAGTAGCTGTTTCCGTTTAAAAAATCAAAGCAATTAGTCAGAGACGGCGCCCACACCGCAGTGCTGGAAGAGCCGGCCGGGCCCAGGTCTGGGTGCTCGCCGACGTGCACTGCTCTGAAGGCAGCCGACTCGGGTCGCCGCCGACCACGCTCTGCTCACCCCGAGCGCGCCCACCTTTTGCGAGCCGCCACCGACCCCCTTCCTCACACCCAGGGTCTGACAGCAGGGTCCTGCCTGCCGCCCACTCCGGCTGCTGCTCTCACAGACCCTTCACGTGGCGGTCTCCCACAGACGGCACGGTGCCCGCTCTGCTTTAAAATGCTCATCGCCAATCAATCAATCAATCAATCAATCGAGCAATCGATCAAATGCTCATCACACAGCTGCTCCCAGCCCGCCGCCTGGCCCCGGGGGAGAGCAAGCGCCTGCCTGAAACCAGTCGGCCTGTGCTCACGTCCTCACGGGTGAGGCCGGCACCCAGCGCGTGCTCGGTGACTCGGCTCCGACACTCCTTTCCCCTGTGCTCGGACTGAAAGGCCGGAGCTCCCCACGTCTGAGAGGCAAAGGCCACGTTCTGGGACACGGGACACCGTGGAGGGGCAGGCAGCACCCAGTTGGCGCCCGGCGCCCGGCGCGCAGACGACTTACCTCGTCCAGGAGGCGCTCCTTTTCCACCTCGGTCAGGTCGAGCATGAGGCTAGGGAGACAGCACATGCGGGTCAGGGCGCAGCAGCACACTTCTGGCCGCGCACCAGCGCCCGCCAGCCCCGGCAGCCAACGCGGCCCTGAGTCCTGCAGCCACCCCGCGCCCCTCCCCCGAGGTCTGTCTCGGGCGAGGCCAGCACCCTCCAGCTTCAACCAGGAGAGTCTGGCTTGTACGGTGTTCCACTCAAATGCAAACTATCTGTTCACTGAACTGCCTCAGATCTTTCATTTGCTCCCGGTTCAACTGTCCCGTAAAGGAATTCTGAAGTCACAGCGCAACATGCAGGCCAGTTCTGATGAGGCCAAACCTGTCCAGTGTCACCTACTCCGGTACTTTTTTCCAGCTGTACTGGTTGTTCCACTGAAGTAAACAAATTGGTATTTATTTTTTCAATGTGAATTATGACTCCCTTCCCCCCAAAATAACGCCCGACAAACTGACAATGTTTAGAACCCTGTTTCTGCATCTGGAGCCACCCTGCCTGTACGGTGCGATGGCTGGAGGCCGGGCGTGCGGGGCCCCGAGCCAGCCGGGGCTGCCGAGCGCTTCACCGGGCGAGCACAGCTACGGGAGTGAAGTCCAGGTCCCGTTCGACTTGAATCCATCCAGTGGCTGCTGTGATGGACCCAGATCTAGAAGCTTCCGTCTCCTACTTACATGTGCAACTCGTCAGGAACAAAGCATGTGCTAGGAAGCCTGAGGTGGGACCCATGTCATGTCCAGCAGCCATTTAAAAACGCGTGCGACACGGACACAGATCTACTTCTGAAGTCACACTGCAGCTCTAAGGGACGGTTAAAAACAGAGCGTGCGCCTGCGCTGTGCTCAGGCGCAGAGGACTCACCTTCCCAGAAAGTCGTCCTTGTCCGGGTCTTCGTCGAAGAGCTCGATTTCTAACTCCTGTCCGGGGTGTTCGTAGACCAAGGCCTGCAACAGTGACAACCCGGGGTCACTGCACACTGTGACCAGCACGTCACCACGTGCTCTCCTCCGGCGCAAAGCCCCCGTGCAGCACCGCGTCCTCCCACGGTCAGACCGCGCGCCCTCGCGTCTGGAGCGCGTGTCCACCCAGTAACAGTCTGCTGGGCTCGTTCCCGGTGCGGTGCCTCTCAGGGGGCCGAGCTCGGTGGCACGGGGACAGGGCGGCCCACAGCCCGGTGCGGGCTCCGCGCAGACACTGACTGCCCTTGGATGACCAAGCCCCACTCCGAGGCCGGGGGGGCGGGGCTGAGCAGCTGGGGGAGCAGGACCCGCACTAGCGCGGGCGGGGGCTCTGCGTTCAGACCCCCGGAACTGCTGCTGCGGCAGCTCCACTCCGGAGGCGTCAGGTGGGAAAAGGCGGCCACGTAAAGAACACGTGTGCCTTGCGCGTACACCGGCCAGTTACAATGCTGACCCCGAGAGCTGGGACCTCTCGGGGCGAAGAAAAGATGGACTCTACTCAGGAAACGGCTGTTACAGCTCAGGCCCGTCTGCGTCTGCTGACGAGGACGGACGCCCCGCCGTGTTGGAGGACCCTTCTTCACCAGACAGAGTGCGACCTTGTTCCCGCACACGTCTGTGTCTGTGGATAACAACACAGAACATTCGCGCTATGAAAAAACGGTGCAGTTATTTGTTGCAACGGCTTTATGCACGTGTCGTCTAAAACGTCACAAAGCGTCACGTGTCAGCAGGGCACCCACGACTGCAGGGACAGCAGGTGCGGCACGTTCCAGGCGCGCGGCGGGGGGCGGGGTGTGCGGCGAAGAGGACGTCGGCTGCCGCCCAGGGGGACAGCGGGGAGGAGGGACCTGGGGGCGCAGCCTCACCTCGTACACCTCGTTCCACCTCGGGCTCAGGTTCTCCTTGATGACCTTGCTCTGGAAGATCTGGCTGCCGACTCGGATCACGCCGTAGGGGTCTGACTTGCCCTTGACAAGCCCCTTAAGGAAGGTGTCCTTCCCCTGGAGGTCCTGAGCTTCAACGAAGTGTATCCTGAGAACACCCTGGAAGGACAAGAGGCCGGCGGCTCACCGCTTCATCCCGCAGACGGGAGCGCCGGCTGGGCCCAACCGTCTGCCCACCCAGGAACACGGTGCGCAGGGAAGAGACGCGTGAGCACGTGGGGCGTGAGTGGCTGGGCCCCCAGGAGACTCCGCGCAGACGCCCCAGCCGTCACTCCAGACCCGCCTCGTGGGGCCCAGAACAACCCTGTTTGGACGCCACAGTGAGCGACACTACGTCGTGGGGGTGTCGGCCCGTCAGGGAGCCTGTGCTGTGCGCTGGTCACTCTGCGACCCCAGGAAACACTGTCGCCACCCTCTTTCGTGGAGAGGAAGCTGAAACCCTGAAGCACACACTACTCTCAGACTCCAAACACAGTTCGCAGCTCCTGAATGTTGTTTAAGTGATAAACGAAAAATACTTTTCCTGCTTTCAGGGCAAACAAAGGCAGTACGGCTACCTTTGGGTAGCAGTCTCCCCCTCAGACCCTTTGTAAAAAGTCCCGGGTCACGTTCCTGACGCAACCAGCTCAGGAAGGCGTGTGTTCTCACCGTGTCACTCGTCAGACTCTCAGTCTCACAGAAAGCCTCTGCCCCACCGCAGAGACCGGGGTGGGGGCGACCTGCACGTCCAGAGCTCGGCTTTCTGAGTGGACGCCAGGCTCTTACACTGCCCTCCGCCAGCTACAGAGTGCGGCGGACAAACCAACCACCAGCTGCACCACCGCCCACGCGAGGCCCCGACACCCAGGGCCGCTACCGGCCCACCACGGCCGCCTGTCGGTGGTCACGGAGGCCGGGACACGCTCACCTTCGGTATCGGAAACCGCAGCTGGGCTATCTGAACCTCGCTGACGAGCGGAACAGTGATTCGATTGGGAAGCACCAGGTGGTTTGATATTATATCCAAGATGATAGTATCTGATAGGCCACTGTTGGGTGGGAGGCAAAAAGAACAGAGCGATGACCAGACTCACCCATCCGGGGCCGCCACCTTCGGCAGCCGCGCACCGTGAGCCGACAGGGTGGGCGCGGTCTCCCCTCCAGCCCAGGCGGAGGCCCGCGGGGACACCCGGCGGAGACGCTGCCTGTCCTGGAGGCTGTGTTCTCAGATCCGTGCCGGCATCCCAGGGGACGTTCCCTGCGTTCCCTCACAGCTGCATCTCCGGTTCATCCCTGAACAGCTCACACACGTTTCTCTCAATTTCTTTGTGACACAAAGTATCTCAAACTTCCCCTCCTTCCCATGGCAGGGCCAGGAGGGCGTCGCCGCTCCCAGGAGGGACGTGAGGCTGACGGACCCAGGTAGGTGCGCACATGGGAAATCCCACGGCCCAGACCCTGGACGGCTACACGCGAGCGGAGGGGCAACCAGGGACAACGAGGACAACGCGGGTACGCGCCCCGCCCCTCGGCTCCCGGGGCCAGGACTACCTGCCACCCCCTCAGAGGAGGGGCTGCAGCTTGAAAAGAACCCGGAAAGGGCTCGCCTCAGAACATATACTTGCTGTTCGAGTTTTCTTTATTTCCCTGGGAAACTAATAAGACCCAAACTTAAAAATGAACTCACAAGACAGTGCAAGGCTGCCCTGTCCATTCAGAAACATCTGAGCTGCAGGGGAGCGGCCGCCTGCAGCCCTGCCAACACCGCATCGGCGCCTCGGGCCCAGCGCCCGGGGCAGGAGCGGCTGCTGCGAGGGCCCAGCCCCGGCCCCGAGGGCTCAGGCCTCTGACGCCGCCCCCGGGCTGACCACAGCACTCGGACTGACCACAGCACTGGACAGGATACTCACTTCAGCCCGGGGATGTCGAGAAGATTGGTCAGGCCTGTCCAGTTAATTTCCAGAAGCTGTTTTTAAAAAAAGGGGGACACGCTGTTACCCACGTGATGTCCAATTATCGAACCGAGCCGCCCACGGTTGTTTCTTCGCAGACAGAACACTGCCCTGCACCCTGTTTTTCACCGGGAAAGGCACCCGGCCACCGTCCTGCGGGTGCCTGCAGAGCCGCCTGCCGTTCCATTTGGCGACGGTGTCGTCGTTTCCCCAGGAAAAGCGTGGGGTAACTTACATACCCATCCCCCTTTGACGGGCACTGAGAACACTCGTATTATTTCTCTTTTGTTCAGTCAAGATTCAGTGAGTATCTTTTTACACGCATGTTCTGGGATGCGCACGCAGCTGACTTACAAAAAGTGGAAGTTCGGGTCAAAGATACATACCTGCTCACTTGTTATGTTGACAGTGCTACCTAATTACCATAAAGAAATACTGTACTGATTTATATTCCCACCAAAAGTGTAAGAAAATGTTCCTTTTTTATATCCTCACCAAAAAAGAAATTAAAACTCAGTCCAGTGTGCAGTTGAAAACTGCACACTTTACCACTGTCCCAATGTGCACTTCCCTGATATTAGAGGGACATGTTCCTTTCGCTCGACACCTGGGGGTTCCGCTCATCTCCCCAGCGGGCGTTTGTCTTAGAACGACGCCCACACAGCAGGCCGTGTGGGTGTGGGTGGGCAGAAACCATCGACTGGAAACACTGCTTTTCCTACCAAAATGGATGCTGCACCGAGTCAACGTGCTTGTGCTCTCCATCTGGGAAGAGACGCCAAGTGAAACCGCACGATCGCCTCTCCCACAGGGCTGCAGGAACCGTCCCGGCTCAAATCCCCTCGGGAAGCGGCTGGTTATAAACAAGCACAATCCAGGAGTCCAGGGTCTCTCGGGAAGACCCAACGAGAAAGCAACCAGCTTTAAAAGTCCTCAGAGACTGAGGTTTCTCAGCCAAAGAGAAATGAGATGTAAACGCACATGGCTAATAGCAGTCCAGACCCACACCCCCCACAAAGACAACAGGCCTGAAAGCAAGAGCAACTCGGGGTGACCGCCCCCCCAACCCTGGACATCAGGTCCACAGATGTCTTCCACTGAGAAGAACCAGGGACACTGACGGAACAGCAGACGCCAGGCCTGGGCGTCTGGTTCAGTCAGAAAGCTTCAGGGAACACCCAGGACTGATGGGGGCCTGTCAAAGGGCAGGTCCCCTGGAAGGGGCCGTGGCCGGAGATGACAAACCTCCTGTCAAGTGATGGAGGGCCAACGCACACAGCCCTCATCAACATGATAAGGCACGCGTGTCTAAATGCTGCCCGAGTTCAGAGACACAACACGCCGGGGAGGCGGGCACAGGGTCCGTGGAAGGGCAGGCAGGACCCAGCCTGATGTGGGAAGACAAACCTGAACGCAAGACACAGGCCTGGAAGGGGAGCTGACCTGTCCCTGAGCACCGGGGGGACCTGGGGGCAGGACGGGCCCCGAGTGGATAACGGAGGGAGCGGTGGACGAGTGTGTGCACAAGTGTGAGCGTGAGAGTGCGTGTGAGAACACGTGTGTGTGAGAGGTTTGAAAGCTGCGTCTGGAAAGCCGACACCGGGAGACAGGGAGGAGCCCACGGGGAGGGACGAGCTACTAAAATTAGTGCCCGTCCCCCAGCGTCTGGGTGACTCAGATCTGTTTCGGGAAACTGAAGGGCCAGGAGTCGAGTTTCCAAAGGCAGGAAACCAGCTCGGGCTGCTGTGGCTCCTCTGCAAGACACAGGACAAGCAGCGAGCGGGTCCCGTGTCCCTGGGACACGACGACGACTGCACCCTGCTTCTCACAGACGCTCACGGCCGTGCCGGCTCCTCTCTGCTGTCCCAGGACGCGCTGCCGCACGGACGGAGACGAACCCGCAGTTCGACGACAGCCGCGGCGCACTGCAGCACGTACTACACACCGGGCACCCTAAGTGCGTTCATTACGTGGTGCAGAACATGAATCACCTAGGAAGTCCGCTACGACTGCAGGCTGGTGGCTCCCACCCTTCTCCGGTGTTTTTGAATTAGTCACCTTGGGCTGGTGGTAAAGGTCAGGAATATTTTTCGTGTGCTGTAAAGCTCCTGGGGCTGCCAGCCTCCACGGGGGATGCAGAAAACCGGAAACAGCATCACTGCTGAGTGCTGGAGCTGAGGCAACGGGGGCCCCAGCCAGCCAGCAACCCCTCCTCAGAGGCAGCAGCCCCACAGGGTGGGAGAGACGACTCCAGCTGCAGGCGGGGCACTCACGGTGAGTGGGGGTGAGCCAGCGTCAACCCACTCACGTCCACAGACCCAGGGCGTGTGCAGCCCATTTGGTGGGCCAGCAGCATGGGCTGGCTGCAAAGCCTGGGGACCGGGGCGACCCACAGCCGCAGGGGTGAGGCCGGGAGACAGCAATGCTGCTGGAGGGACACAAGACCCGCTCCCCACTGTGACAGACAGAGCCCCTGGGAGGGACACGCAGGTGAGGTCCACCGCAGCCGGGGACACAGCAGGAAGAGAAGGTGCCTCGGGGAGGGGAGGGCACCACCCCAGGCCCTGACCATCGGAGAGCCCGTGTGGCTGGGTCAGTGTGTGGAAACCCACCCGCACAAGACCCACCAAAGACACAGGCACGAGGAGGGCAGAGTCACTAAAGAACACCAGCCCCAAGACGCACCCCGGGCCAGGGCAATGCGGGGCGCCCGCCCCCACCACTGGGGTGCAGCAAGCCTGTGCCTCTGATGCAAGCGATCAAACCACAGATCCAAGAAACTCAGTAACTCCCACAACACCCGGCAGGACAAACACCTCCAAAGCTGCCAGGGCCCGACGGGAAGTGAGGTGTGGTGTGGGGCGAGACCTCCCCCGCACTGCTGCCCCTCCGCAGGGGTGTAGGGTCCGCTGCGGGGAGCCCTCCTCCAACACTGCACCCTCCCCGCTCCTGCGACCCAGGCCCATACCTGCCCTGTCGCAGCAGCAGGGCGGGGCGGGCGGGCGGCTCACTGCCCCTGGGGAGCAGGCAGCTGTGACGCTGGCACATGGACCAGAGGAAGTGGCCTCAGCAAGAGAGACCCAACGAGGGCGGGGCGTGCTGGGGGGAGGTGGTCCAGAGGCTGCACTCACCTGCAGCCCCACCGGGGCTTCAGGGGACAGCCGTCTGGGCGGGCGACCTCCACTTTCCAGTCAAGCCCCACCTTTGCTTCAGGCGCCTCAGCTGCAGACAGGATCCAACCCCTCCTCACAGTCGCTGCACAAGGGCGACTCGTGCCCCCCGCCCAGAGCAGGGAACAACGCCGTGGGAGCGCCCCACAGAGTGGACGCACTGGCGGCAGCGGCCCGAGCGTCTCCCGGGCAAGCTCCAGAACAGGCCTCCCGGACTCACTCTCCTCTCAGCAGCAGCCCCGGGATGGGTCTGGAGAGGACCCCAGGGTGCTGGGGCACCCAGGAGAGTGTGTGCCAGGGCGACGCCCACAGCTGTCCAGCCAGCAGGGCTGAGTGGCCGCCAGTTCCACAGACACGGCCAAGGGCAGGCGCCGGCTCGTTCCGGCTCCCACCAGAGCCTCCGTCCAAGCTCCTGTGCTCACCAGCACTTGGGGTCCCTGTCAGGACCCCCCGGGATGCTGGACCCACACGGAGGAAAACATTTCCTTCCTTAAAAACCTGAGGACTTGTACATGCCAGGCCCCGGGGCAAGTGGTTTTCATCCACTGACGTTTACCTACTCTCTGCATTTAATCCCGTGAGGTCGGTGTGACTGTCACCCCACCCCCCACCCCCCTTACAGCCCGGAGGACTGAGGCCCAGGGAAGTTACATGAATGGTTCTCGCCCACAGTAGGAAGAGGAAGAACCAGGAGGAGAACCAGGCTGGAGGACCCCGGGCCTCGCGTTCCACCGCCACACAACCACGCACACGATCGAAGCTGACCCAAACCCACCCACAAGCAGAGGCGCGTGTAAAGGGTCCCTGTGGGTCTGCGACACTGTGCTTCTAAATCATCAGGATTAAAAAAAACAAAAACCCCACAAGTCTCTCACTGTATTTTTCACTGGGGTGAGAAGAATTACTTGGCAGCCAGCCGTGAAATTTGTTCTCATATTTTCCAGTTGCAAGTAACTGAAGAACTCCCTCTGTCCGAGGCATGTGCTTGGTGACTTTATTCCCCATATAAGGAAATGAAAGATTCTGAACGTTTCAGAGCCTCATCCTTCTTTTCGGAGCACTGGAACTTCGCTTGGAAGTTAGGATGACGTTATTTTTTTTAAGATTTTACTTATTTTTAAAGAGACAGGACAGGAGGGAGAAAGAGAGAAACATCAATGCATGGTGGCCTCTCTTATGGCCCCTACTGGGGACCTGGCCTGCAACCCAGGCATGTGCCCTGACTGGGAATTGAACCGGTGACCTTTCGGTTCACAGGCTGGCACTCAGTCCACTGAGACACACCAGCTGGGGCTGATGTTATTTTTTAAAGTAACTACACCTAGAAGATCCACTAAGGAAGAGTATTTGGATTCTGAACTTCAATAAAAAGACACTTCATTAAATAATTAAAAATTCACGGTAAATTAAAATACTCAGCAATTTGTCAAAGATTACCTTTTTATACTTATTAATGCTTAAATATACTAGCTTTTAAAATCATTTATGATTCTCTTCACTTCTCAGTATTTTAGTAAGTTAAAATTTAGCACAAAGGTTCCTTAACAGCTTTAGAGTGTCACCATGCTTTGTATGTAGCAGCCCCTCCAGTCTGGGGGGGAACGCAGTCCAAGACCCCCGGGGGCTGCCTGCACAAACTATGTTCCCCCAGTGTGTAAAAAAGTACCTACGATGCAGCTTAACTCATGAGTGAGGCACAGTGAGAGATGAGCGACAGTAACGAACGTGAACTAAACAAAGACAAAGTAAAGTCGGAGCTGCCTGGACACAGCACCGTGGCGGCCGATCTGACCACAGCACCGGCTCCTGCGTCACCTGTGGGCAGGTGGTGTGTGGCCTGGCGACTGGACGAGGTGGCGCACATCCGGGACCGCGTGGGATCTCATCTTGCCACTCAGAGCAGCACACGGTTTACGACTTATGACGTGTTTATGTCTGAATTTTCCATTTAACATTTTCAGACCACAGTCAGCTAGAGGTAACTAAAACCATGAAAAGCAAAACCATCAGTAAGGGGGGAACTACTGTCGTTAAAATATATTCAAAAGAAGCCCATGTTTAAGCAACAGAAGGGCAATGAGAGTAATAATGTCCGTGGAATACTCGGCGAGGACACGGAGGAAGCACCACTCACAGTCTGGTCTGGACAAACCCAACGATAATTTGCATTAAGTCACTCGCATCAAACTGCACAACAGAGATTCCCATTTTAAACTGTACGTGATGTTAGCGGTACCTCCAGGGAGGGCTCCTCGAAGGTAACAAAACAGCATTTTGTGGCGAGCCAGCTGAGAAACGGGCCGGGCCTCCCTCAGACACGCACTGAGCTGTGTGGAGACAGAGGCTGTGCTTTCTAAGAGTTGACAGGTCACGCGCGACGAGGCCCAGGGCTCTCTGGGCGCCACGGGCGTGAGGAGGAGCCCTGGCTACGCTGCCCTGGGAAGGGCACACGGGGCTGAAGGCAGCGTTGTGGACGAGGACCAGACGAGGGGCCAGGGAGGCTGGTGGGCTGCTACTGACCCTGCACGACAGCCCCTCCCTGGGGCGGGATGGAGCCGGCGGGGATGCTCCTGGGGCAGCGACGACGGGAAATGAGGCCACGGACAGTGACCCGGCCATGCCACAACACAGGTGGGAGGCCACCCCCAGGGAGCCCTCTGCACCCCAGGAAGGGGCCCTAGTGGTGAGTGACGGCCACCAAGGACACAGCTGAGGCAGGAGGCCAACCAGAGGCCGCGGGAGCCAAGGTGAGGGGGGCCTACATAGGACTGATACCTCTGTTCTCCTATTTTTGTGGTTAATAATAAGTATTGGCCATTTATAACAAAAAACTGGAATACCACACATATCTCACCATGTAAAGGAATGTAACATTATGGTCTATCCAAGTGTTAGAACATAGCTCAGTATGGGGAACCTTTATGACTTTTAAAAGCCTGCTGTACTGACTGCAGTCCACTCACTGCGATGGGCAGGCCGTGCGTGGGGTCCGGGGGACGGGAGGCAGAGCCAGGTGGCGTGCGGGCCCCCAGACTGGCTCTGTGACTCGACGGAGGAGGGTCCCCCTTCTCGGTCAGGAAAAGGAAGCCGTGTTGCTGTTTCGCTACGGGCGTGAGGACTCAGTGAGCAAGTGTCTGTAAATCACACCCAGCGGTAGGTGCAGAAATGCCGATACAGCAAACCGACACTGAAAAGGCGTCTGTTTTTAAATTTCCTGTGGCCAACACATCACTTCTGTGGCGAGGGAAAGCCTCCCCGTCCACAGGGAGAGACGGGCCCACGCTGGGGCCTGCAGAGGTGAGAGCGAGCAGGCCCCACGCCTCAGAGCCACGGAGAGGCCGCTTCTCTGTGCGCGCCACCTGCCCCCGACACACCCGCCTCCTCGCCGCGAGCGGGAAGGCGGGGACGAAAGAAACGTGACTCACCGGCTTCCTGAGGAAGAAGATGGACAAGGCTCCCACCAGGGGCATGTCTCCAATCAGCGGTTCCAGGATCACCCGCATCGTGCCGTGAATCTAGCGCAAACGGAAGCAAAGCGTGGAACAGTGAGCAGGGCGCGGCAGTTGCGATGCAGGAAGGAGGCACGTGACAGGCGTAGTAAAGCCGAGGGCAGAACCCACAGAGAAATCTAACTGCCAAGAAATGAAGCCCTCACCATTTTCCTTCCAAGCAAGCACAGAGGATTTTAGGAGACCGTGAAATCTGAAAAACCTCACCTGTATACTTTGCACACCAGCTCTACAAAAGTACCGCCTGATCTCCAGGTCGATCTCACAGTTTCCTACAAAACTAGCAGAGAAGGGTTCTGTGTTACACTCTCCCCCTCGCCACAGACCTGCAAGGTAAACAACCTGAACAAACAAACGGGGCCACGGGAGCTTCCAGTGGGAGCCTGCGGCCTGGGTCTATCTCACGGTCGGTCGGGGCTGCGGGCTTCTCTGCCCCCGCCAGACCCGCCGGACCCACGGCCGGCGGCAGCCCGGCTCCTGTGACAAACGTCCCCCTTCCCAAAGGGAACCCTGGAGCAGTGTCGTGATGGAATGCGGTTTTCATTTGTTTTATAAACAACTAAGTTTGTTGAAACAACAAAGTTTAGATGGCATTTGTCCACAAGCAAAGAGGCGCCCAGGCTCCCGGCCCTGAGAAAACCCGAGAGCCCCGGACCCCAGTGCCGGGGCTGCGTGAAGCCTCATCTTCCTCACTGACGAAGTCACTGAGATCCTACGTGAAGGTCGACACTTAGTGGGTGGGGCCTGTGTGACCCGACGGCCCCCTCAACCCCAGAAGGCCTCACTCTGCACCTCTGGAACTCCGGCCCCAGGGAACAGGCGCTCCCAGCCGCAGCACCTGCTGTCTTCCGGTCCGTCTGGACGGCTGGCCACCAGGATGGGAGCGAGGTGCTATCGTTTCGCAGCCGATTTGCACTTTTCTGATGTGTAGTGAGGCTGAGCGCCTCTCCACTTGCCCGTGGTCCATTCGTAGGCCATCCCTGGGGAAGGTCCACTCGCACCCTTTGACGCGGCTGAATCTGGTCCCTCGTCTCGTGGTTGAGTGGCGGGCGCTCTCTGCACACCCCCTGCTGTGGAGGCCGCCCCTCACCAGACGTGCGGGGGGCGCACTGGCGCCGCCGCTGCTCTCAGGGCCGACGTGTAACAGCATCCGTCCTCCACACCCTGAGCACGGGCGTCTTTCCACGCCTCGTCTTCAACGTGCCACAGCGACGCTTTGTGTTCGCATGACACAGGTCTGTCCCCTCCTCGGCTAAACCGATTCCTAAGCATTTTATTCCTTTTGGTTCCACTGTAAAAGAAACTGTTTTTAAACTTCCTTCTGAGCTGTACACTGGCAGCGTATAGACTGGAACTGGTTTTTGTGCTGATTTTGTATCCTGCCACTCTGCTGAGCTCATTTATTAGTGCTAAGAGGTTTTCTGTGGGACCTTTGGTGTTTTCTACGCAGAAGATTGCATCACCCGTGAACAGAGATCATCTCACTTCTTCCTTCCAAGTTGGACGCCTTTCATTTCTTCCTCGTCCTAACTGCCTTCCAGGGCTGGGTTACACTGTAGTGGTGAGAGTGGGCACCCTGGCCTTGGCCCGACCTCGGAGGAGAAGCTCTCTGTCCTCCGCCACCGAGGAGGGTGTTTGCTCTGCATCACAAAGGCTGAAAGCAACCTCGTCTTTCCTGCTCTGCAGAGTGCTGTCCCTGTGGAACAGGGGTGAGCTTTGCCGCAAGCTTTCCCTGCACCCGCAGAAATGATCACACGGTGCTCTTCCTTCACACTGTCAACCGGGCGCGCCCCACTGATGCATTTCCATGCTGAACGACGCCCGCGCCTCAGGGATGCGCCCACCCGGCCATGGCCATGGTGTGAGGTCCTTTCAGTGTGCTGCTGAATTCGGTTCGCCAGTGTTTTGTTAAGGAGTTCGGCATCAGTGGTTGTAAGGAATTCGATCTGTAGTTTTCCTCTAGTGCCTTTAATTTCTTTTGCTTAACATGTTTTGTGAATGGCAATTACCTAGGCTATCAGGAACTCAGGAAGTAAACAAGTGGGGGTCGTCATCAAGCACTTACACAAACCCCACCAGACACCAGGGGAGAGCTGCGCCCACTGCAGCCCCCACCACGTGGGCGTAGCTAAGTGACAGTAGGTTACATTACGTCACAGACCACGGCACAAACGGGACACAAACAAAGCTTACCTGACCTGAAGGTCCAGGATAATTTGCCTTTTGTCCACATTTTCAGTGTACACCTTGACACCGTTGATCCTGAGGGGCTGAACAAGAAGTGGCTTGTTTTAAAAACACAGGGTGGCAAACAGGGCAACAAAACCACTGAACCTCACAGCACGGCACAGAGCTGAAGAGAATGCGCCCCGGCGTCCGGCGACCTGAAGGACAGCCTGCTACCCACTGTGCCAGCCCAGCGAGGCGCTTGACCTCTGACCCTCCAACGCAGGGGCGCCCGTGGGACCAAGGACACGGGGACGCAGGGCGCTCGGCGCACCGAGGGCACGCAGCAGCCCTGGCCTCTTCCCACGCACTTTCCCCTCTGCTCTGTCCCACCACATTGCGTGAAACTCAACTACCTTCCATTTCTTTGTTTCTTGTAGTTTTTCATTTCTTAAGATTTTCACAAAAATGGGACTTTTGAATGCATCGGAATTACCAGCGGTGGGCACTCTCCACCCCTGACACGGGACGCAGGGTCTGAGTCAAATGGCCGTGAAAAGCGAAGGTGGGTGGGTCAGCACAAACGCTCCCTCTGGAGGGCCCACGCACAACACCGTTCAACAGCTCCTCTTCCGTCCGTCCACCCGAGACCCTCCCGCTCTGGAACAGCTCCGCGCGCCCCCGCTGGCCGGGTGGAGGCGCCTCAGCAGGCCCCAGGGTGAAGCGCTCAGTCTTCACCAAGAGCCACGCTCCCAACACCCGGGTCCCGGGCTTCTCCCCGAGGACACCAGCTCAGACACGGCCAGACAGACGGATCACCAGAGACACAGCGGCCGCGTCGTGTGGACAAGTGGAAGTGGGCGTGGGCGTGGGGCTCGGTGCCTGCAGCTTGGATGTTTGCCTCGGACAACGAATCCTCCCTCCGCTCTGATCACAGGTTAGAAGAAGGGGGGCCGACCCTGACCCCAACGTGAGAGCACCAGCTAAGGAAGGACAGACACCCGACGGCCCTGAGGGACTCGGCTCAGAGGGGCAGTGCGGACACAGCGCCCCGCCTGGGGCTCCGCCTCCACCAGACGCCGAGTTCCCCGCGCCTGTGGGATGCCAGTGGGGCGACGTTGCCGCCTTCCCCTACTGGTCAGCCCCGCTCTTCCCGTTCCTGCGGTTCCCAGCGACGCTCTCCCGCGGTGAGAGCAGGCGCCAGCCCGGGGCGGAGGCGGGGGGCGGTTAGAACCCTAAACCTCCACCCACATGAGCACAGAGCACGCAGGCGGAGGTTGGCTTCGGCCAAGAACGGTTTTTACGTTTTTTAAAGGGTTGTAGAGGAAGGGGACCGGAGGAGAGCATGCCTCAGAGACTCCCTGTGCCTGTCAAAACTGAAGCAGTGTTCTGGCTCCTGCTTCACAGTCACATAGCATTCTGACTGGTCACAGCCTGTTGTCACCTTCTCGGGTTGCAGAAGTCAAGTCGGTGGCGCGGGCGAGTGTCCCACAGGGCCCCTGGGCAGGCCCGTGGGCTCACCAGCAGCAGACGACCACGGCCCGGCTGCCTGGCTGTACTGGGAGGTCGCAGCACTGCGCGGGCGCCTGCGCACAAGCCTGGGTCCCGTGGAGCTCCGGTGGGCCGAGCCGTCTCCACACAGAGATCACCCCTCATGGGGGCGGGCGGCCTGTGCAGGGTGGGTGGGAACCAGTCTGGGGGCCAGCCAGACACCAGCCACGTGCATTAAAGCCCCAACAGGCGACGCAAAGACCCCCGAGTCTGGCTCTGCTTCTCTAGCACTGGTGTGTGTGAACTGTGTGGCGGGCATCCTAAAATGTGCTAGACACTTGTTAGGTCACATGAAACAATGTTACCTTAAAGCCAAAATAACATTAAATGTCAATTACACCTCAATAAGAAAAGTCACCTTAAACTGTTGCTAATTACTGGACTTAAAAAATACAAAAAGGAAGCTTATCATGATCAACTAATTGAGGAGTCCTGAGAGTTTCACTAGAAGTGCCACCGGAAATTAGCAGACCTCCTCTGCACACACAGACTCGCCTCAGAGATCCTGCAGGCTCGATTCCAGACCAGTGCCAGAAGACCACTGTCAGTAAAGTGAACCCATAAAAGTTGGGGTACCCCAGTGCATACAAAAGTTCTGTTTAGCCCAGGCTGGTGTGGCTCAGTGGACTGAGCACCAGCCTACGATCCAAAGGGTCGCTGGTTCTATTCCCAGTCACGGCACAAGCCTGGGTTGCAGGCCAGGTCCCCAGTAGGGGGCGCACGAGAGGCAACCACACACATGTTTCTCTCCCTCTCTTTCTCCCTCCCTTCCCCTCTGTAAAAATAAATAAGTTCTGTTTACACTATATTGTAGTCTGATAAGTATGCAATAGCATATATCTTTTAAAAATGTGCGTATGTTCATTAAAAGACATGCTAGTTGCTGAACCTTTAGAGCAAGTTCCCATCCCTTCCAGCAGAACAGGTTGCTGAAAACTGCAAAGTTCATTCTGACAGAACAGGGTGGAAAGACCCCCCCCCCACCCCCGCACCCCCACACACAGTGAACCTGATCTGGCCGAAAGACCACAGTGGACAGAGGAGGGCAGGGAAGGACCCTCGATGGACCGGGCGAGGCAAGGGCACCCCACGAGGGGCAGCGCCCCGAGAGCTGCACGAGCCCCGCCAGGCCCGCCCAGGGAGCAGCGCTCTCTGGGACGCAACACGGAGGACTCGGCCCACGGCTTCGGTTTTCACCGCAGCGGCAGGCGCGCACACGCGAGGACACTTGCGGGGGAGCTGACCTGCTGGCCGATGTCGACTCTGGTGAAACTGAAGGTGCTGAGGTGGGCGTTGGCTCCCCGCACGGCCGGCTCTATGGTCTCCCGGAACAGCTTCTCTATGAACTGGCAGATGAAAGGCCACATGTGCTTCACCGTCTGCAGAGGAGAGAGGACCTGGGTGAAACGACACGCTGCGCGCACAGTGTGCCTGCGTCACAGTGAAAGTGCACGCCCTCGGAGTGCGCCAGAGCTTGTGAAAGTTAAAGGGGGGAGCTTTTGGCTATTCAAAAATCAACATGATTTTAAATTTTAAAATGTATCACAACAATAAACTACTGATTAACCAATATGTTGTAGGAATTAGTCATTCTGGTAAAGCATTCTACTTAACCATGTCAGCACATTTAATGATCGCTAAAACCCAGAAAATCAGAAAACCCTGCGGCTTCAACTGTGCAGATCCCAAAACTGTACAGATCCCAATGAACAAAAAGTGAGTTTCCTTTAAAGTGGACTAACTTCCAGACCCGTGAGGGAACCACTGTCTACGTTAGTTCTCACTCCACAGCTCTGAGGACACATAAATATGGAGACAGCAGATCGACTTCAGGGTCCAGTGACCTAAAAATAGAACCTTTTTTAAACCATTAGATAATAGAAATTATCTATTTCTAGGATCATTTCCCTCTTCAAAATGTTCCCAGAATTCTTCCTCATGATTATCGTCTAGACCCGAGCAGTAGACAGAAGGTCAAAGAAACAGCTCACTGAACATCTCACTGATTTTCTCGGAGCAAAGGCAGTTTTCACTGCTCAGAAGAGGAAAGCGACGCAGCGTCTGCAGCTGAGCTCTTCGGGAGCAGAAGCCAGTCCAAGCGGGTTCACACGGTGTCAACATCCCAGCTCCCAAATATGGAAGGATGGCATCCCATCCCCGAATTCCCACCGTTCCGCATTCTGCTCCCTTACCTTATTTAGCCATTCTGCTCTTTCCGTGTCTGGAAAGTGAACCTACGAAGAAAACACACACACGTGACTGAGGGACCCCATCCCGCAGGCCTGCTGCTTGCTCGTGCAGCGCCTCCTGAAGCTCCCTGAAGCCTGGAAACGGCTGCGGGGGTGGGGGGGTTGGGGGGGCGGGGACTGGACCGCGTGGCCCTCGGCCCTGCATTCTCCGAACACTCTGCAGCAGGAGAGTCCCATGTCGCCAGAGGCCCCAGGCCCTCACCCACATCCCTGCCGTCCCGGGGAACCCCCGACAAGCACTCCTCAGGGGTCCCTTTCTGAAGAACCGCTTTCCCACGTGTCGGCGCTGACGTGGTCCAGAGACCCAGAGGCACAGCCTGCGGGAGCCCACCGTCCCCACGGCGGTCCTCGCTGGCCCAGCGCAGCCGCAGACGCAGGTCCCTCTCCCACGCTCTCCCAGCGAGAACCGCGCTCGAGCTCTCCGGGAGCCCCACCTGTGCCCCGGGGAGCACGAGCGTTTGCAGAGGTGGAAAGAAGCCCGTCAGGAAAAGAGGAGAACAAGTGCTTTCCTTGCTGTCAAAACGTAACCCTCTGGGAAGGAGGCCGAAGCTGCTCTCCTCGGGAGAAGCTCTGTCCTCCCTCGCCCCTCAGGAAAGGGCGGGCAGCCCCGCCCGTGTGCTTTGCTTCGGAAAAGCACGTTTCTGCCCACTTCCGATCGGAGGTCACAGGCTGGGGCCTCGCCCGGACTCCACATGCAGAGATCGCCGTGCCTGCAAGCCTGCCTGGAGACCAGACCACTCCGTTTCCAACAAAGGTGAAGAGCACGGCCAAGGCGGTTGACAGGGCTGAGCTCTCCTCAAGCCTTTCACGTAAAAGGTGCAGGAGACCAGGGAAGGCGGAAGACCCGGTCCTCGCAGGGCGGAGCGGCAGGTAACAGATCTCCCCCGAACCCAGCTCCTGGCAGACCAGTGTCCAGTGTGGACAGTGAGTCATCAAACCCAGGTCTGCTCGTTTGAAAGAATGGAAGCAAGGGTCGCTCACTGAGCACGCGCTGCATGCATGTGCGGGTCCTGTGCTGACCTGTTCCCGCACGCTACCAGCGTGAATTCTTACAACAACCTGCAACTAGGGACTGGTAATGCCCCAAGTTTATGGGTGCCTCGGTGGCAGGACGGGGACAAAAGCCCAGAGTCGCCAGCCCGTCGAGCCCACCAGGTTCTCGAGAGGCACACGGCAGTGGGAGGGTGAAGCCCGAAACCCGGGCAGCCGCCTTGCATTGCTCGAGGGGCTGGTAACAGCCAGAAGCAGAAGACTCCGCGCTCCGCAGTGATCTCCTCGCCCAGACTCCCGAGGCTACATACAGCGTTAAGTCCTGGGACAGCCGGTCAAGTCCGGCAAACGGGACAGCCGTTCACAACGAAACGCTGTTATCAGACCCAGCAGCATTTCACCCACGACTGAGAAGAGAAGGATTTAAAGACTGGTTTTTACTCGGTATTCGCACTCCTTCCCACGAAAGGGTCAGGATAATTAAGTAAGAATGTCAAACTCCATGTGCATTCACCCTGTGACCCAGCGATCCCATTTCTGAGACACGATCATAGAAACAGACACAAAAGTGAGAAACGACGAGTGCAGTGCCGTCTGTAACTGTGAAGACCAGAGACAACTGAAGGGCCACCAGCGGCGGACCGGCAGGGCCCTCCCTCGAGGAAGCACGGCACAGCCAGAGGAGGAGCGGGGAGGAGCTGCCTGACCCCGATTCCCGGGGTCATTGGGACGAGGCTGCGGAATGGCTCCCGGGGTCTGTTGTAAAGAGAAAACACAGATGGAGAAAACCATGTACGACTGGCCACCCTTCACCTCAGAAGAGGGGAAGGGAAGTGTGTATGTACAAAATAGGCTTGAAAAACCTTTTAAAAAATTAACACGAACTCTAGGAAACTGTTTACCTCAGGGCCGGAGCGCACAGGGCAGGAGAGACAAGCGTGTGGTCGGGGCGAGGAATCCAGTCGCCCTCCACTCACACCGGGCTGCCCCTCGGTGGCTCGGCCGGGGGCTGCAGAGCGCAGTCCCCTGCAGGCCCCCGCACGCCCATCCCCCCACACGGCCACCGCTGTCCCCGCGTGAAATGGCATGCACGAGGAAAGTCGGAACTCGGCCTTACAATGGAGGTCTGCCTAGAGCCACACAGCCAGAGTCAGGGTCCGACTCTCAGAACCGTACGGCCGCCTCGGCGGCCCCTCTCCCACCGTCCCAGCGCCAGAGAACTTCTGTCCACCCAGGACATGCCACCTACCTCACCAAGTGGCCAGTAAGTGTGAGTCCCTGTGTTTTCAGGTCAGTGCACAGTACCAAATCCACAATGTGCAAGTACCATCAAGTGATGGCATTTGCTTCTATTTTCCATTAAATTCTTTTTTAACGACTTTACTTATTTATTTTTAGAGAGGGAAGGGAGGGAGAAGGAGAGAAGCATCAATGTGTGGTTGTTGGGGGCCGTGGCCTCCAACCCAGGCATGTGCCCTGGCTGGGAATCGAACCTGTGATGCTTTGGTTTGCAGCCCGTGCTCAATCCACTGAGCTACACCAGCCAGGGTTAAATTTTTCATAAATTACAAGGAATTACTGTCTGTTAATATAAGACATTGCCAGATTTTCAAATCCACAAAAATTTATTAACAGAGGCCACATATTATTAAAACACAGCATGCATGTTTGTATATAAACATACTTGTATGCCGCACATGTTTATAAATGCAGAAAAAGTCTACTAGGAACACATATGGAACTAGTATAACAAGGAGGCGATGAGGCTTTGATGTTTTCCTCCGTAATTCTGTTTGTTTGAATTTCTTCACGAAGCATAAACTACTTCTCTGGTTACTACTGTAATTTAAGATAAAGCTAAGAATTTTCTAACAGCACTATTCTTACACAATGAACAACTCTAAAATTCCGTGAAGATAGAATTTTCATAAATTAACTCTATTTTAACCACACTGGAAACCAGACTCTCTTACAACGTAAGTGATCTACTCCAGATCTGACTTGGAAGGACGATTTCCTGACACATCAGCTTTAAAGGCAAAGTGTAACTACGCTGATGAGACACGACACGATGACGCCTGCGGGACACGTTCCCAAGTGACCACGGCTGCGTCTCTAACGCAGCGGCTCTCTCTGTGGTCACTGCCCGGTCCCCGGGTCAGGTCTGCCGGGTGCGGCCGATTCCCACCCGCCCGCAGCCCTGAAAGCCAGAGGGACGCCACACATCGGTGGTTTCTCTCTGGCAAAGCGCCCCGGCCCCGTGACTCCCCTGGGGAGTGTGACTGCAGGTGGCAGAGCAGCGTCCCCGCCCAGCGTCGCGCGGCGGAAGGGGAACGCGGCGAGGCTGGGGGCACTTCTGACCCTGCCCCGCACTCGCGCCGCCGCTGGGCTGCTCCTCAGCCCACTGCACGTGTGCGGACTCTTCCTCCTGCGCCACAGGCTGGAGAGACTCTTCGGGGCAGTTACGTGGGTCTGACTCTGCGCCCAGAGCTAGGGGTGCGGTGCGCGCTGGCCACCCTCCTGTCCGCGGGCGGCTCGTGGCTGGTGGACCGCGGTGGGCTGCAGGGGCTGGCCCGGAGAGGTGTGGCCGCCAGCCGGGAGCGGGGAAGCGGGGGGCCGGGGCAGGGCCTGGTGCTGCCTGGAAAGGGCCCCTGAGAGGCTCGGGGAGGAGGCAGGGAGTGAGACGAGGCGGGTGTGAGAGAGTCAGCGGGGTTTGCCGTGCAGGGAACAGGGAACACCCTAAGAGACGATAGTAATGGGGTTTGCAGCGGACTCTGGCTGGATGAGGTGACGGCAGGAGCGGGAACGATAAAGCTGAAGGGCAGGTCCAGGTCGAGGCCAGCGGGCGAAGGGGCGTGACTTCACGCCACAGGCAAGGCGTCCCTCCCGGAGCTCCCGGCGGAGAAAGGACGCAGGGCCAGCAGCGGAGGAGGTGCTCCTCCGCAGGCCCCCGACCCATGCTGGAACCCCCCGGGGAAAGGGGCACGGGAGCCGCCTGCACGCATAAGGCCCTGACACGAGAACACTGGCTCCCACTGCGAAACTGACGCGGAGGGCGGAGGTGGAAGGTCGAGCCAGCTCCCAGTGGTGGAATGGCGAGGCACTCAACAGTTCCGAGGTTTCTAATTTTGAAGTGATTACTTCAAGGTGCCAAAGAAAGAGTGTACCAAAATTGAAGAAAGCAAATCTGTTTTGCTTATTAAAATTTGCCAAATTTTAATTCTGTTCACTGAGCTGAAAATCTGCTTCTCACTAATACATATTCATAAACATTTGCTTAGGTTCCGCAAAACAGAATTTAAAGTAGGAAAAACATCACAGAGAAAGACTGGGAAAATAGAAAACATGTTCCTAAGTCATATAGGAATGCACGAACACATATCGTTTGGTTTCCAGTCTTAATCTTTCAACTAAAAATAAAAAACAAGCAACACCCTCCACTAAATCTCCTTTATAAGTCCAGTTATAAAACAAGTTTTTGTAAGTGTTTATACTGTCTCCACAAACTAGAAATAATCATTGTTTGATTGTCCAAGCTTTGATTATTTTTAAGAGTTGACACTACCCAAGAAACCCCGTTTTAACCTTATCTTTAAAAAGAACAGAGGCATAGCTGGGGCTCTAGGGTGTTGACATTACCGAAGTCGTTTTGTTTAGGAGAAAGTTAAACCAAATATTCAAAGACAGAACGTCCGGGGCAGGCCCGGCACTCTGCACACGGCCCCCACCGCCCCCTCCCAGCAGCCCTTGGGACACCCAAGGGCTCCCCGTGACTGATAACGAGCACACTTGTTCAAAGTCACGGGGAGTCCGGGCACTGGACCTGGAGGGCCCTAAAGTCCCCCTGTCACACCTCGCTGAGTGTAAAGGAGGGAACAAATTTATACAGAGCTGAAATTTCTAACTAAACCGTGTTCCCCATTTCTGAACATTAGAAAACAATGACATACAACTTCAAATTAAATGAAGGAGCTGTCGTCACCCAGCACCCCCTC